AGCTCCACACTGTGTTATCTCTGACTCCAGCATCAGCAGTTCTCAGGGCGGCAGTTGAGATGTCTCACTTCTTACTTTATCAGGTAACGGTTCAGAAAGAGTTGATACTGAAGGTGCAGTAAGCTCCACAATCTGATAATAGCTCGCAGTCCTCTGGCAGTGAAGCAGTCTTCATTACATCTGGATGGAGACAGATGTGTCGTCTCTGGTTCCTGTTAGACATAGTTACATACATGAACTAGTCAATGGAACCTGTATCTCTGGCTATCCTGCAACTAACTACATTGTTTTGTAAAGACTCAATTGTGATTTATCCTCTACTAATGCAGAACCGTGACAGGTGCTGCATGGGCCTTTGTTGTCATGTAAACTGATGTTACAGGTAAATTGCACCCTGGGCAAAGTTGCAGAGAGTTAGCGCATCGTTAAAACTCCACACACCTTCAGGAGCAAATGTGCGGAAGGAAATCTGGAGAAAATGACATACAAGTAAACAAATAGTCACTCTGAGATAGTAGGAGAGAGATTCCCTTGGCCTGCTGTGTTCATCCAGCTCTGCACCTTGTTGTCTCAAATAATCACTCTGGACTTGATTTTTTTTTCCTAATTTCCCAGGTGCTAGATCTTATCTCCAGTGACAACCTGAATGTTCCTTCTGAAGAAGAAGTGTACAGAGCTGTGCTGAGCTGGGTCAAACACGATGTGGATGGAAGACGGCAGCACGTGCCCAGAGTAAGAAATGGTTAACCTCCTCCAGATAGTTAGATTCAATAACATGAAAAGACCAGAGAAGCTGTGACTTTCCTGCTAAGAACAGAGACAGTTCAGGGGATATTCGTCAGAAGCATTGGTACCCTATTGCTGTGGATAATTGGTTCAGGAGATCGGGAGGTAGAATTGGTTTGGGAGGAGGTGAAGAGGGGAAAGAAGTCACGAGTGGAATGGTCAACAAACACCCTAATGAATCCTGATGTAGGATGAAGTGTAGATGAAAAAATATTGGATGTGATTGATGAAGGGACAGTAATAATCATGGGTGACTTTAACAAGCTAGAATGGTCAGATTCGCAGTAGTAATCAGGAGTTCAAAGAATGCTTTCAAGATAGTTTCTTACAGCAGCACATTCTGGAATTAACCAGAGAGCAGGCTATATTAGACTTAGCGTTGTGTAATGTGACAGGATTAATTCAAAACTTCAGAGTAAAGGTGCCCTAAGGTAGCAGAGAAAATAATTGACGTATATGCCCAGTTTGAAAGGGAGAAGACTGGGTACTTTAGACTTAAATACAGGTAACTATGTGACAATAGAAGCTGAGGCAATGATGTAACCATGTAACCATGAAGTGAATTGACACATTAGTGAAGGAGACTGATCAATAAACACGTGACAGACATTTCAACGATATTTTGGAATATTAACAATGCGTTTATTTCTACCATTAAGAAGAATTCTAAAGGGAGGATGTGCCATCAGTTGCTAACCAAAGACAGGCAGAGTGTCAGATTGAAGGAAAAAGCGTATTAACTGCACAAAGATGAGCGGCAGGTCAGAATATAAAGAATGGCAGAGAATGACTGAAGAGTTAATCATGAGGAAGACATTAGAGTGAGCTAGGAATGTAAAAACAGACAGCTACAGGTACATTTAAAAAGGTGGGACAAATGGTGAGTGTTGATCCTCTAGAGGGTAAGAGCAGAGAAGTTGACAGTCAAGTCGCCAGACTGTAGGGGCACGCTCTCATTGGAGAGACACAACCGGTGGAGGTTTAACCTGAGGGCCACCATCCCTCAGGCGAGGGACGAGGGGAGAGGTTGAGAAGGACAGTCCTTGATGGTAACCTCAGCCAATGTGGGATTGAGCCCACACTGTCGGCATCTCGTTGCTTCGCAAACCAACCATCCAGCCAACTGAGCTAAACCATACCCCCAGAGTTGACGTTAGATGGTAAGAAATGAAAGATGAAATGAGCAAAATACCTTGCTTCTGTTTTCACCCTTGGAGGATTAAACGAAAAACTTGAAAAATAACTGCAAAAAGCAGGAGGTGGAAGGGAGAGAGAGGAACTTGGTAAAATGAAGATCATGAGGGCAGTGATGATGAACAAACTTCACCCTGGAGTTTCAAGGGAGTGCTTAATGAGTGCTCAATTCTCCAAAATTCCCTCCATTCAGGAAAGGGTCCAATAAACTAATAAAGTAACTAATATAATTCTCTATTCAAAACAGGAGGAGAGAACCAGAAACTAGTTAGTCTGACATCAGTCGTGGTAAAGGTCTAATGTTAAAAAGGTGGGCACGTTGCAAAACTCTAGTTAATTGGGAAGAGCTGGTGTAGCTTCATGAAAGAAGGGTTTAACCAATGTATTAGACTTCTATAAAGGGGTAACATGTGCTGTGGACAAAGGAGAACTGGTAGCTGGTACCATGCTAGGATTTCCAGAAGGCATCTGATAAAGTGCCACATCAAAGGTTAGTACAAAGAAAAAGCTTATGGCATAAGGAGTAATACATGAATGTGGGAAGAGAATTGGCTGGCTGGACACAAGGTATAATTAGTAGATCTTTTTCTATTTGGCAGGATATGGCACGCAAAGTCCTGTAAGGCCTGTGCTGGGGTCTCAACGTCTAACAATTTATATCAATCACTTTGATGAGGGGAACAAAGACCTGGTATAACACAGTTTGGTACTGGAGGAACACAGCAGGCCAGGCAGCATAAGAGGAGTAGGAAAGTCGATGTTTTGGGTCGGGACCCTTCTTCAGAAACCAGAAGAGTCCTGACCGAAACCCCACTTTCCTGCTCCTCTGATGCTGCCTGGCCTGCTGTGTTCCTCCAGCTCCATGCTGTGTTATCTCAGACTCTAGCATTGGCAGTTCTTACTGTATCAAAGACCTGGTATAGCTATGTTTGCAGATGACTCAAAGATTCAGGGCATATATGTTGTGAAAAAGACATCAGGAGTTTGCAGAGTGAGTGGGAGAAAATCTGGCAAATGGAGTATAATGTGCTTAAATGTGAAGTTGTTCACTTCAGCAAGAAGAATAAAAATAGTAGAATATTACTCAAATGGAGGGACGACTGTGGGAGTCCAAGGTATAGAGGTTTTCTTGTGCTCAAAATACAAGAAGTTAGGATCGAGAAGGCTAAAGAGATGCTCTCCTTTATCACATGAAAAATTGAACCATCTAACCAATTCAGAAAATTGAGGTGTATACGCTGCACTCAGCAAAGTGTAAGCCCTTTTTCAATTAAATCACACAGGATCCAAGCAACTAATTGGATGTTTTGTGGTCCCTGCTGGTTACAGTCTGTTTCTTCATTTTGCACAGGCAAAGTCTCCCCAGGTTGAACCCCAGAGAGAAATTGGAAATTTTAGGATAGTGGAAAATTGCCATCCTTTAAAGTGTTAAAAAGAGAACAAATGATGTCCAAGTGTAGCACCCAGGAGAAACTCGTGGGCAGAGAAATGCCCATTTGCTCCCACCGAAAGAGAAAGGCAATGTTTTCAGACCCCGCTGTTGATGGCAGTTTCTTGGCACCTGCACCTTCTTTTCAAACCAATCTGGTTGTCTGATGCAAACTGAAGTTGGAGTCTGTTTTTGATTTGGTTTGTTGATGCTCGAGCGAGAGACAGAGTTTTCTATTGGGACACTGTTAGACTGACGGTTACTTTGGAAATGTGCCCTCGGTTTGATTGGGGACCCGCAGTAACTTTTGCCCTTTTGTGTATGGCTGTAGCTGATGAAATGTGTCCGTCTGCCTCTCCTGACTCGGGATTTTCTGATGGGCAATGTAGACACGGAGCTTCTGGTCAGACACCACTCGGAGTGCAAAGACCTCCTCATCGAAGCCCTCAAATATCACCTAATGCCTGAACAGCGGGGAGTCCTCAGCAATACCCGAACCAGACCTCGGCACTGTGAAGGTGCCAGCCCCGTCCTCTTCGCGGTGGGTAAGTTAAAACACTCCGCGGCAGTCACTCTTGGCTCCCCCACCTTTTTTTGTTTTTTTTATTCACTTGTGGGACGTGGGTGTCACTGACTGGGCCAGCATTTATTGCCTGTCCTTTTGTTACTCCTTGAGAAGCTGGTGGTGAGCTGCCTTCTTAAGTCACTGCGGTTCACATGCTGTAGGTAGACCCCTTAGGGAGGGAATTCCAAGACATCGACCCAGTGACCGTGAAGGGACGGCGATATATTTCCAAGTCAGGATGGTGGTGACTTGGAGGGGAACTTGGAGCTGGTGGTGTTCCCATATATCTGCATCCCTTGTCCTTCTAGATGGAAGTGGTCCTTTGGTTTGGAAGATGTCTAAGGACATTTGGTGAATTTCTGCAGTGGATCTTCTAGATAGTACACACTGCTGCTACTGAGTGTCGTTGGTAAAGGGAGCTGGTGCTTGTCGATGTGGTGTTTATCAACCAGGCTGCTTTGTCCTGGGTGGTGCCATGCTTCTGGAGCACCATTGGAGCTGTGCCCATCCAGGTAGGTGGGGAGTATTCCATCACTCTCGTGAATTGTGCCTAGTAGATGGCGGACAAGCTTTGGATAGCCAGGAGGTGAGTTACTCACCACAGTATCCCTAGCCTCTGACCTCACCAGTATGTTTATGTGATGAATCCAGTTGAGTTTATGGCCAATGGTGACCCAAGGATGTTGATAGTGGGGGATTCAGTGATGGTAACACCATTGACTGTCAAGGGGCAGTGATTAGATTTCCTCTTATTGGAGATGGTCATTGCCTGGCATTTGTGTGGTGCGAAGGTTACTCTCCACTTGTCAGCCTAAATATAATATATAATTTTAATATGTGTGGAGTACAAGGTTAATGTAAATCAAACTGTGGTGTAATCTCATTGCTGCGAGAACACACTCTGACAGAAAGTCTGAGCTGGAGATCTATTGACTACAACCTTCGACATGCCTTGAAAACATTCTTCAAAGAAGGTAGGCCTTGACCTAAAAGCATGTGTGAGAACCTTGTGGGGCAGGGAGATGGGAGAGCATAACATAGACGGAATCATTGGAGCATGAGCTGGCCATTTGACAGTTTGATCCTGTTCCATCACCCTGTTTCGGTTCTGGCTGCTCGATACTGGAGCGAGATTGGAATTTAGGATTGTTCTTTGGAGAGGAGTCAACCACACAGCTCAAGATATACAGTGGAGTTTGTGAAGGGTGCAGGAGAGAAGCCAGACTTTGAGGTCTTTGAGGTTTTGGTTAGGATTTCAGCAGCACAGACAGAGGCAATGCAGAATTGTATTCTAAATTTGCCAGAAGAAGGTCAGGTTTATTGGTTTCTTTGCTATCACTGTTTATTTTCCCATCTCCTCTGTGCCCCCAGCAGATTACACAATTCTCTGCATTAGGGAATGTTTCCCCTCGTGGGGGATTCAGGAATTGGCGGATGCTCCTTAGGAATAAGAAGTTGCCTATTTAAGAAAAAAAAGGAAGAAGGATTTGTTCTCCGAAGGTTGTGAATTCCCAGCCCTAGAGCAGTGGAGTCTGGTCATTGAATATGTTCAATACTGAAATAGATTTTTGAATGTGAAGGGAGCGAAGGGTTTTGGGAACAGGCAGGAGTTTAGATCAACCGTGACCTTGTTGAACAGCACAGCAGCCTTGATGGACCGAAAGGCCTATTCCTGCTCTGACTGCTCATATCCGAACAAGAGCCGTGTTATGCCATGTCATGTACAACATGGACGGTAAAAGTCTTCAATAACTGATACGCAGATTTGTTTTCTGCAGTGATGCTGCAGTATTAATAACATGGAATATGAATAAATGTCCTGCAGTGTTAACAACTTTATTCAGGTAATACCAGAAGCAGGCCACTCGGCCCCTCAAATTTGCTCTGCCGTTCCGTACGATCAAGGCTGGTCTGATTACTCCGCGTCCCTGCCTACCTTTCACCCTCTTCACTGATCAAATGTCTAAACACACTGCCCTTTTTAAAGGAGAGATTTCCAAAACCTCACGACTCCCTGCGAGGAAAAGAAATTCTCCTCATCTCTGACTTAAAGGGGCGACCCCTTATTTTGAAACAGTGGGCCCCAGATCCAGATTCTCTCTCAAGTGGAAGCAGAAGTATGTTTCTAAGGGGTCAGCCACTTTAAGGCCAAAGATTGTAGCTGTTTGTGAATAGGGAGATCTCGAGCTGAACTGCTTTTTGATGGGGAGATCTGCAGATTGACAAGTGCTTGTGACTTCCTAGCTGCAGGTCAGATGTAAACACTGTGACTTAACCACTTCCTCCTCTTTTTGATTTTTGTTTTCATTATTCTGTGTTTTTTGACACATGGCAGTGTGACATCTGAAGTATGATGGATGCTGGCCAGATGTGAAACCAGTTACTCTATCCAGTTGGGGAAGCGTTGGCAGCCATGGGATCTTCAGGACCTGACTGCTATCATCTGTCTTTGGCTGGCCATGATTACAATGGCATACATTGAGGAAATTTGCAGCTCACTTCAGAGAAGCAAAAAGAGATTAATTGGCTGTCAGCGAGCAGAACAGAGAGAACACGCAGAAATAGGACTCTGACGAAGGTCAGAATCACTTTACAAAAAAAAAATTGCTGATTAAATCATTACACACATCTAGATTTAGATTTCAGCCTGCTGTCTTTATTTATAACCTGCACTTGTTTCAAATGCTCAGAAACCTCTGCTTATCCTCTGAGCTTCCCAGTGAAACTCTGCAATTTTTCTGCAGAGATGCTACAATATTAATAACATTGAATATGAATAAATGTACTGCATTGTAACAACATTGTCCAGGTAATATCACTTACTGGCAAGTATATGACTGATCTCCAATCAGCAGTGCATTTAAACACTAATAGCCACTTAGTTTCTCAATCACTTTGCATGTTCCAATTCACTGCTTGCTGTGTGCCCAACAGTAGCGTGGCCGTAGTACTGAGAATGAGCTTTGGATTTGGAAGTGCAGAATTGAACGGGGAAGAGTATTTGGCTGAATGAGATGGTGAATTGGGTGCCATGGTGAAAGCCGAACAGGGTTTGAGGTTTGGTCTAGCCATTTTTTTTTTTTGCACCTCCTCTCTGGGATCTCGCACTCCATTCAAGTGAGCATGGGAAGAAAGTTTTTTTGTTACACGTCCATTTTTCAGATTGTGTAATCATTTAATAATCACATTAACTGTACCAATGATTAGACCCAATCGCATTTTTGACTCCAGGATGTTGGCTATTACTGTTCAGGTAGATTGATTTGAAATACTTGTGTGGAGCCAAGGGTTGTTGAAGTGTCGTGAATATTAGCCTTTTGACATCTGGTCTATTTGTTCTGTTGCTGGCAGAAGTTACTGTGTGTTAAAGATTAAACCTTCTCAACCTACATCCTCAACCATCTCGAAGGACAAGGGCAGCAGATACGTGGGTACACCACCCCCTGCAAGTTCACCTCTGAGCCACTCACCGTCCCGACTGGGAAATATAATCCTTCACTGTCCAGGAATCCAGGAATTCTCTTCCTCACAGCATTGTGGGTCTACCTGCATCAAATGGATTGCGACAGTTCAAGAAGGCAACCTACTGCCACCTTCTTGAGGGCGACTAGAGATGGGCAATAAATACTGGCTCAGCCGATGATGCCCACATCCTATGAACAGATGAAAGAAAAAATGAAGGGGGGGAGAGCGGTAATATTCTATTGAAACATCTCCATCAGATTATGTCGGCAGTTTGTGGAGATTTTGAGAAGCCCAAGTGCTTCCTTTCCACCTCCCCTCCCCAATAGCCATCTTGCCCATGGGGTGGGGGGTGGGGTGGAGTGGGGCGGGGGGGAGGTGGGAATGCCAGCCTGGAGCAGGCAGACAAGTGCAAATGGTTTGAGTGGAGAGAGACAGCCCCTAGGTTGTGAATAGAGTCTGTTCACAAGTGGAGGCATAATGCAGGACAGTGTAAAGCAGCCTTTCATGAGTACAGGCAACATTCATACAGGCTTTTCTCCTATAACACAATATTTGCATTCTTGTGTGACCTCGCGCTATAGAAAATTGCTATACCTGTACAGTAGAAAGTTTGTGTTATTCAAACAGCGTTCACTATTCGTCACTCACCAATTTGCATTAATGAGACACGCCTTATAGCAGAACTACCTGTATATCGAGTCTAATTACACCCCCCCTGTATGGGATCATGTTTGTAAGTACAAGTATTTAAATCAGGCATTTGTAAATAGAGGGACCCTATACACCTCCCCCAGCCAACCCCAGCCCTGCCAGTCACTGCCCTTCAACAGGGGATGTATAGGTAGAACCTCAGAGCACCACTGTGATGACTGCCACAGACAAACAGCCAGTGGATGCTCCATTGGCGTACAGATGCAACATGAGAAGGGAGCCATTAGGGTGACAAACAGGACAAAACTGTTGGTGCCCATAAAATTTTACACCAGGACTTCCAGGAGGAGAAAACGGCACAAGAAATCTGTTTTATTAATGCACCAACCTGACCCGCAGGTTCAATCATCTGTGAAATGCCAACTGCATGAGTGCTGGATTGGGTATTTATTGGCACTAGGGCACTCCTGTTGATTGTCTGTGTCTCTTTGTTTGCAGGTGGTGGTAGCCTGTTTGCCATCCATGGAGATTGTGAAGCCTATGACACAAGGACAGATAGGTGGCACATGGTCGCCTCCATGTCGACACGGCGTGCGCGAGTTGGCGTAGCGGCGATTGGGAACAGGCTGTACGCGGTCGGGGGGTAAGCGATGGAACTTTCTCCCCCAGGCTTCAGCCTTGGTCAACGCACAAAGGAAAGTGAGCTGACCGTTATCAACCCAACCATGAGTGGTGGGGGAAGACTCAATGGGCTGAATAGCCTACATTTGCTCCCTTCTGGTCTAAAACCACGTTCTCTTCAGCGGAGGGGGAATGGCTTGTGTCAGCAAGTTCTACTGTAGGAAGGCAGTTTTGAAGCTTTAGGGAAGCTGGTTAGAAAAGTTCGTAATTTATCGTAGTCGGGTGCATTGGGAATTGAGTGATGAATTAGCATATGGAAAGAATGAAAGCTAGTTGAAATTTTGAAAGTTTTGTTTGTGCACACACTAGTTTTTTTTGCACTGATTAACTTATTAAATTTCAATTTTCATTTGTTCACCTATTTATCCTGATTCCTGTGGTATCCTTTTGCTCGATGGAGGTCTACATTATACAGCTTAGACCTTTTTGTTTGGTTGCTGTCTATTTCTTGAATTTATAAATATTAACAGAAATAGATCGGGGAGATAGAAACTGTTTCCATGGGGTTGGCAGGAGTCATTCAAACTCTAAACAAGACTTGCGGGATCGAAATTAGGAAATATATCTGCACGAATGCATGTAAGATGGGAAAAGTTTACAAACCCCTTTCACATATGGCAATCGATGCTGGACTGTTTGTAAATTTTGAATCTAGGATTGCTCGATTTTTCTGTTATCCAAATTTCTTTTACACATGCGGGTGGTTCACATGCGGAATGAACGTCCTGAGGAAGTGGTGGATGTGGGTACAATTACAACATTTAAAAGACATTTGTGAATAGGAAAGGTTAGGAGGGATATGGGCCAGGAGCAGGCAGGTGGGATTATTTTCGGCATGGACTGATTAGACCGAAGGGTCGGTTTCTGTGCTGTATGAGTCTATGATGCAAGGCATTGGTAGGATACACAGAATTTGTGGAGCAAAGGATTAACTGGATCAATACTCTACTTGCAGCTGAGTGTAAGGAGCTATATCATGACAAGTGTCATATTCTGTGAAACTGAGACCTGATGGAAGAAGGCAACTCCAACAGTCTCCTGTAGATAGTTCATCACAAATTTAATGTTAACAATTTCCATGGGCCCTTTCTCAGACAAAGGACTGGAGATCTGAAAAGAAAACAGAAATTGCTGGAGAAACTCAGCAGGTCTGGCAGTATGTATGGAGAGAAAGCAGAGTTAGAGTTTCGAGTTCAGTGACCTTTCTTAAGGGTTTCTCCAGCAATTTCTTGTCTTTGTTTCCATGAGCCTGTGTTTAGCCCTCATTGTTCTGAAGCTGCTAATAATAATCTGACAATGTCCGATCACCGATCAGCTTCGACTTTTGTTTTGAGGCTTGAGGAGGTGGAATACCTTCCTCCTGTTCAAGCGATTTCTCCGCAATTGGTTTGTGCTTGTCTTAACTCTTACTGTTCGTATCCAATCTCTATTGTCCACTGTGGAAGGGCTGCTCCTGAAAGCCAGATAACAGAAAATGAAACAAAAGGGCCAGCACAGTGGCTCAGTGGTTAGCACTGCTGCCTTGCAGCGCCAGGGACCCGGGTTCGATTCCAGCCTCTGGTGACTGTCTGTCTGTGTGGAGTTTGCACGTTCTCGCCGTGTCTGCGTGGGTTTCCTCCAGGTGCTCCGGTTTCCTCCCACAGATGTTCAGGCTAGGTGGATTGGCCATGCTGATTTGCCCCGTAGTGTCCAGGGATGTGCAGGCTAGGTGGATGAGCCTTGGGAAATGCAGGGTTACAGGGATGGAGTAATGGGGTAGATCTGGGTGAGATGCTCTTCGGAGGGTTGGTCTAGTCTCAATGGACCGAATGGCCTGCTTCCACACCATAGAGATCCTATGATTCTCTTCTGGAGTTAGAGAATCATACAGCATGGAAACAGATACTTCAGCCCAACTTGTCCCTTCCAATCTGATCTAGTCCCATTTGCCAGCATTTGGCCCATATCCCTCTAAACCCTTCCTATTCATGTACCCATCCAGATGCCTTTTAAATGTTGTAATTGTACCAGCCTCCACGACTTCCTCTGGCAGCTCATTCCATACACACAGCACCATCTGTGTGAAAAAGTTACCCCTCGGTGTACTGATTGTAATGAGGTCAAACAGGTGGACCACATAGAATATGAGTTCCCTGGCTGGGGCTGTTAACCTGGTCCCATTAGGGAGCCCTGGCTGACCGATATAAACAGGAGTGTCAGAGGTTCTGTTCACTCTGAGAGCTGGCTCTGAGGGAGCTGGATCAGTGTCAATGTACGGTGACTTGGTGATGGGATACCAGCCTCTCTGGAATTATTTCACTCAGGTTCTTTTAAAATCTTTCCCCTCTCACCTTAAACCTATGCCGTCCAGTTTTGGACTCCCCCGCCCTAGGAAAAAGACTTTGGCTATTCATCCTATCCATGCCCCTCATGATTTTATAAACCTCTGTAAGGTCACCTCCTCAGCCTCCAATACTGTAGGGGAAATAGCCCCAGCCTGTTCAGTCTCTCACTATTCCTCAAACCCTGGAACTCTGGCAACATCCTTATAAATCTTTTCTGCACCCTCCCAAGTTTAACAACATCCTCCCTACGGAAGGGCAACAAGAATTGTACACAGTATCCTAAAACTGGCCTCTCCAGTGTCCTGTGAAGCTGCAACATGACTTCCCAACTCCTACACTCAATTCACTGACCACTGAAAGCAAGCATACCAAACGCTGCCTTCACCACCCTGTCTACCTGTGACTCCTATAACTTGTGTGGAACTGGATGAACACAGCAGGCCAGGCAGCATCAGAGGAGCAGGAAAGCTGACGTTTTGGGACGGGATCCTTCTTCAGAAATGGAGCGGGGGGAAGGGGCTCTGAAATAAATAGAGAAGGGGGCACGGTGATAGAAGGTGGATAGAGGAGCAGATAGGTGGGAGAGAAGACAGACAGGTCAAGGAGGCGGAGATGAAGCTAGTAAAAGGTAGTGTAGGTAGGTAGTGGTGGGAATTGGTCAGTGAGGTGGGAGGAGTGGATAGGTGGGGGAGAAGACGGACAGGTCAATGAGGTGGGAATGAGAGGGTTGCTGGTCTTGGGATGAGGCCGGGGATGGGGAAATTTTGAAGCTTGTAAAGTCTACATTGACTCCATTGGGTTGTGGGCTTCCAAGGCGGAATATGAGGTGCTGCTCCTCCAGTTTGCAGGTGGTGTCGTTGTGACACTGGAGGAGGCCCTGGATGGACATGTCGTCCAGGGAGTGGGAGGGGGAGTTGAAGTGATTCGCGACTGGGAGGTGTTGTCGTTTGTCGTGAACCGAGTGTAGGTCTCTGAGCCTCTGCTTGGTCTCACCGATGTGGAGGAGGCCACATCGGGAACAGCAGATACAATAGACCACATTAGCGGATGTGCAGGTGAACATCTGTTTGATGTGGAAGGTTTTTTTTTTTGGGGCCTGGGAGGGAGGTGAGGGGGGACTGTGCTTGTGACTCCACTTTCAAGGAGCGATGCGCCTGCACCTGTACGTCTCTCTGTTCAACAACACTCCCCAGGGTCCTAACATTAACCATATAAGTCCTGCCCTGGTTTGCCTTACCAAACTGCAACAGCCCTCATATTTATCTAAATTAAACAGAGTTTGATGCATTTTTTTGATGATTGACGCTACCTTAATTACTCAGGTACGACGGCACTTCTGACTTATCGACTGTTGAATCCTATGATCCGGTAACCAATTCCTGGCAACCGGAGGTAGCCATGGGAACGAGACGGAGCTGCCTCGGTGTGGCGGTGCTACATGGCTTGCTGTATGCGGCTGGTGGTTACGATGGCGCGTCGTGTTTGAACAGGTATTCCCGTTGTTGTTGAACGTTTGCACCGGTGTGTTTCAGCATTTCCTTCCCCCTCATTTTCCTCACCTCCTGATGGTGCAGAGTGCCCATTGTCTGACTCCATGGGCAGGCGCTGTGTTTTGGTCAACTCCTCACCAAGGTTGGGGGGGTAATGGTCCTGGAGAATGAGCTATTTAGTCCACATCTCAGTACAACCACATGAGCACAGATTCGCAGCGATCAGGAGCAGGAGCACTGACGGGGGGAGCCGGAGGAGGGGGAGCTTGCTGGATTCCACGCTGTCATTCAATGTGTAGCGCTCGCCCATCAGACAGAGGATTTTGGTTTCAAGTCACTAATGTAGACACACAAATGTAGGCCGATACCTCCCTGTTGAAAGTCAAAGGAGAGCTGAAATGTTGGCATTCCTGTCTTTCAGACAAGGTGTTAAACTTTTCCACTGTCCAAAAATAATCCTCATGGCACTTTCACTGGAGTTCTTCTATGCCAATATTTCTTTTTGTAGTCATATCATGAAAAAAATTGTTTGGTCAGTACCTTGATTGCTGTAGTGCAAGCTTCCTGCGTGCAAATTGGTTGTCATAGTTTCAAGTAACACTTTCCCAGTGCCTCTTGGGCTGTGAAGCACTTTACAACATCCTAAGGTTATATATAAACTGCAGTTTGTCCCTGTAGAGACTCCTAACTGCTTTTGTTGATTTTTGCTTTCAATTGCTGAAGCAGTTTGGGGGAACCATGTTACACTGTGATCTTTGTCATCCGAACTGAACAATGAGTTTGGGTAAATTTTTATCATGGGGCCATCTACACACACAGCATTGTCTGACTAGAGTTCACGCTGGGCTTTTCTTTGCAATGCATCATAAACTTCAACTTCAGAAGGAAAGCACCAGTACATAGAATCCGGTGTTGTATAATTCTATTCTACCCATTGTAGCTGTACTAGCCCTTTTGAAAGAGCTATCCAGTTGACCCCATTTACCTTCATGCTGCCTGTAGCTGTGCAGATTATTCATTTTCCAGGACAAATCTATTTCCCTCTGACGGTTTGTAGTAAATATACTTCAATATTTGAATATAGTTTCCTTTGGAATACAAAAAATGTTCTTTCGTTTGGCTCTTTTGTCAATTATTTTAAACCCGTTTCCTTAACTCTCCTCCCCTCACCATCTCTTTACTTTCTCCCATTGTATCCCCTTCAAAATTTTGAACACCACTTTGCAACAACTTCTTGCTTTTCACTTCTTGGGAACCGTTCTGTGTTTCTGAACGAAACTTGTAAAATAATGAGGAGGTTTCCCAATCTTTTAATTTTACATCATAGCTGTAGAGAAACGGTTATTTCTGTTTTGCGATTTTAGGAGAGGGAATTCAAACTCAAGCTGTGAAGATGAAAGGGTAGCACTCAAACTGCGTTGTGTCATTTAGTTCCCCTCATTCAACCCCTTTTCACAACCACAAAAGCGTGACCATTGCTTTTGTCTCTCTGCGTTTCACGTGTTTTTGGGAATCTGTTATCTGAGATTATGTCAAAAGTGTTGCTCAGTCTCTTTCATCAAGGACAGTTTTGTAGTTTATTCCTTTTCATAAGATGAGGAACATAAGATCAAAGGGGCAGGAATATCTTTAAACATATCTATAATAGACACTTTAACATGCACCTTGTTAGCAGCGAACTTCATTGAGGCACTTGTAATGTGTTCTAAGTGTGATCATAGTGCTGCGCTCAGTTGAAGATTGGGAATACGTAAAAAAGCGGAATTGGGAGTGCGCAGAGACCCCCGGGGTTACAGAAGAGGTGAAATAAATGTGGTGGGGCCACAAATGGATTTGCAAATAAGGGTGAAAATTTTAAAATCAAGGTATTTGCCAGTCTGGGAGCCAACATAAGTGCAGGAGCACAGAATTGAGAATAATTAGTATCAACAATTTGAGACATGCGCAGACCAACAGCAAACTGTTTATGTATGGCCCTCCGGTAGATCATTGTGCAATCTACGAAGATTAAATCTTTGAACTAAATCTCTCTGGAGGCCAAAAACAACATTTGCCAATCTCCTCTACCTCACACAGTATCACTTAAGGAGCCTGGAGGGCTACCTACAAAGTTTAAATGCATGGGAGCATTAATTTGCGTGTATCCCAAGTTGCTGATAGAGACAGATCTCCATGATTACTTCTGCATTAACACCTATAGGTGCGGTTTGATTTGGATGTAGCTAATGACTGTAATTATATTTTGATAACACGCATGCCCTGCCTACAAATGATTCAGTGCTGAAATGCCTGAAGGTATTATGACTATAAAACTGTGCTGCATTGTGCTGGAATCTCACTGTAATTTATGTTACTGTGATTAACTCATTACTATTGCCATGTGTTGAATTTGCAGACGTACTTCAGGATGAGCGACATAATTAACAGTTATCATAACACATCAGTACAGAACTCCTCTGACTGCCACTTTTGCAAAGCCCTGAATAGTGGCTAGAGGAATGTGTTCATTCCCAATTACTTTTAACCAGGTGCTTTCAGTTAATGGGGCAGTGAAAGTGCAGGAAATCGGGAACGTGCAATATTCCCCCGTACAAAATCCCAGCAACCTTGACTCCTGATTCTGCTCCTCAAAAAATGCAATCGCTTGGAGTATCATTGGAATTATCCCAAACTCCCGAGGAAACTTTGGGGACTGGACAGGAGATGCCGTGGAAACAGCCGTTGTTGTTATTTATATTGGAAGTTGGGGATTGCCCGCTGCTGTCTAAGGGTTTGAAAGGGTTAATGGGTAGGGTGTCGTAAGCCACACCCATACAGTGATGCCATATGTGGGCCAGAACAGCTTAGAATCAGGACCTCCAAGACTGGGAGATGTAATTTTGGGGTTGTGGGCTCTGTGGGACAGCAATGGCTGCCATGGAGGTCTGACTGAGTGACATAGCCATGCTCCCTCCCCTCCCCACACTGGCCTCATAATTCTCACTGAGAAGCCACCACCACTTTGAAGCCTCAAAATGGGGCCACAGTGAGAAACAGTTGGCTTAGGAGGGCCGTACATAAATAGTTTGCTGTTAGTCTGTGCATGCCTCGAACTGTTGATACTAATTATTCTCGATTCTGTGCTCCTGCACTTGCGTTGGCTCCTAGACTGGCAAATATCTTGATTTTAAAATTTTCACCCTTGTTTGCACATCCATGCGTGGCCCCACCACATTGATTTCTGTGACAATGTCTGCCAGACCAATGTAACCTGTTATTAATGTGATGTCAGAAGACTAGTTGGACCAGGAAATGTTGACCACAGTTGACCAACCACGCCCTGTTGCCTCCGACACTTTGAGGATAGTGGCTGCACCCTTCATTGTGAATTGTAACTCATACAGTACAGTAAGCAGCCACGCTCCTAGAATACGGTCTGACCCCAACAAGATCTGACTAATGGGATAATACAGAGCACGGAAGGCCTGGATGTTTTACTGCTAAGAAAGTATTTAGATATTGCCCTTAGCGCTGGCACCATGTAGCTAGGGAGGGGCTGACTCAGGTAGCTTAACGCAATCAGGTGCCTGTGGTATCCTTGGTATAAAATACTTTTGTATGAGCAACAGATCCTCTTCCCCCTTGCAATCAGTTCCTTCCCTGGCCCTTGTTCTTTCTCTTCAGGTTCGTGCAGTCATAAGACACCACTGAGATCTCCATGTGCCTCTCAGTCCTTGCCCTTGGTGTACCCTTCTCCCAACCATTGGCAGCCATGCCTTCAGGTAAAGAGAAAGCGGGAGTGGGATACTGAAAGTACATGATCATATTGAATGGCGGTGCAGGCTCAAAGGGCCGAATGACCTACTTCTGCAACTATTTTCTATGTTTCTAATTGGACCATAACTGCTGGATTTGTTCCCCCAAACTCTCCTCCTTCAAAACTGATCTTAAACTTACTTGATTTTTTATTACCAAGTTTCTGGTCACTGGTTCTGATGTCTTTGTGTTTTGGCTCATCATCGAGTTTTGTCTGATTTTATTTTCCCACGTAGTAGCTGGAGATGCTGCACTGCATTCAAGGTGCTACACAAATGCAAGTTGTTGTTGGACAGCCTGCAGACTGTCCCTGACTCATTTCACTTTGGCAGAAAGGGGCACTTTGAGGACGAGTTACTGGAAGAAACCGAATCCCTCAGTAGAAGTAGAAATTGGAGAGAGAACATTTGAAAGGCAATTTAGAAATCTCTTGTTTCTATCGTAGGGATAACTCGAGCCCTGTCAGGCTGATTTGAGAAAATGAAGTGCAAACGTCCTTCTGAACGTGAGGCAGAAACGTGCTCCTACGCTGGGTTAGATGCCCGACGAAGTGTTGTTCAGACTCTTGCCTTTTTAATAGCCGCTGCCTTCTCTTTGTGTTTGCACAGTGCAGAGAGATTCGACCCTCTGACTGGAACATGGTCATCGGTTGCCGCAATGAGCACAAGGCGGCGTTATGTCCGAATTGCAACATTAGGTGGGTGTCTTCCCCCTCTCGTGTTTTGGCAGCAACCGTTTGATTCATATTGTTGAAAAATGCAGAGAAATGATGAGCGTGCAAATGCTGAACTGACACGGGAAAGCTAATTGAACATACAGTGAAAGATTTTGGTGTTAACTCGCTACTCAAGCTGTTGGCAATAATTGGTCCTTTGGGTATGAGTTGGGAGAGCTGTCTGCCAGTATTCACTGGCTCTAAGGTTTCCTTTATGGGTTGAAAGTTTTTTTTTAATTCACTCGTGGAATGTAGGCCTTGCTGGGACCACTGCTTTTATTGCCTGTCCCTTAGCAATAAAGAGCCTGGAGTCGCACGTTGGCTGGGCAACAACAGCAGTTTCCTTGCTTTAGTAGGATGTTAGTGAGCCAGGTGAATTTTTATAATAATCATTTCATCGATTTTAGACTTTTCATTCCAGATCTCTTACTGTATTCAAATTCCACCATCTGCTGTGATGAGATTCGAACCACGGCTCCCAGGATATTTCTTCGGTCTCCAGATTACTAGTCCATGGACAATACCACCAAGCTCCTCAGTTGTCAGCTGAACTTTTGCACATTGACCCGTTGTGCCGCGAAACAGAGTAACCCAGACATGAAGACCCGAAATTTGGTCTTCTCTCGTTGCCCCTTCAGCTCAGGACAGTTAAGTTGAGACGGGGAGTGCTACATTTGGCACTGCAGAAGAAGGACGTAGGTTCAACCTGCACTCTCTCACTGCCGTCCTGGGATGAGTGTGCTAAGTGTAAGGTTTGTTGGGGGGGGAGGAAAGGAGAAGTTTATAATGTCCTACACAGTTGAACAGAACATCTTATCAATGCCTCTAGTCAACTTTTATACTGGGTCACAGCATCAGAGGACTGATCCATTTAACCATACCTTGGCATGTAGCCAGAACTGCAGCCATCACCGTAAAACTTTTAGTCTTGATTTAACCTAAACCCCCTGGATGAGTTCAGACATGTTGGTGACCTGAGGTTCTGCAAGTCCTTACACTGAGATCAGTAAGGACCAGGAGCTTGTTGCAATGTGTTTGACCTCGGTTTATCAGATTGGTTAGGCTCATGAAGGTCGGTGACTGACTGATTGGAGGATCGTTATCATACTCGTTGGCTCAGTTACTGAAATAACGGAATTAACATTAAAGGACCTACCATCAATTTCCTCTCCGATTTTTAAAAACTGGGATCAGGCAAGTCTGTGTCATTGTTCCAATCCTTCTCCATTTTCCTCACTGGCCCCGACCGAGCCACTGGCCCTCACTTCCTGCAAATTACGGGTGTGGGGACATTTTACACAACAGGCAGACAGCTCATCAGCCTACAACATCTCTTCAACTTTACCAAGCCAAAACCGCACCCCCTCCCCACCCTGCATCAGCCAATCCACTTCAGGATGAGGTGTGTGTTTGTGTTCATTCAGAAAGTGAGCTCCACATCTTTTGCCCAGTCCCCCTCCAAAGTGCATGAGAAATTGGGCCTTTGACTAAACTCCTGGAAAACTGAGGCTCCTCTTCCAACAAATTTTAACAGCAACACCCCTCCACCAACCCCAGCCCCTGCAAACCCCGATTTAAAATCAACGGCAGGTTGAACATATTGACAGCTTCCCATATCTTGGGAATGTGATCTCAACAAAGGGCGACAGACAGAGTCAACGAAATTCCTTGTTGCCACCAATGTGCCGTAACGGTCAACCTGAGGAAGGGAGTAATTAAAGATCAGGACCTCAGACTAAGCCGAAGGCCCTGGGTCACTGAATGCAGTGATCTCTATGCTCCAATACACAATAGAGGTGTGGGCCAGAGAAGTCCCACCCAGTGATACCTTTCTGAGGTCCTCCAAATCTGAGGGCAAGGAAGGGGGATCCACTAGCCAGGTCCTCTTCCAAACCAACATGGCCAAAGTGAAGATACTAATCCAAACCAGCTCTGAGATAGTAGGAACTGCCGATGCTGGAGAATCTG